TTTATATATGTTTTAGTATGTTTTAAATATGATTGAAGGTTTAAATATGATTTCTTGTTCAAATAATCATGCTTGTTATGTTCTGCAGAAAAACTGCTGCACATATATATTGTTTAATGAAAAATTTGAAATAGCAAATGAAATCCAAATTGAACCAAACTAATGCCAATTGAAAGATATGTGAATCTAGATTGACAAAAAACCTTTCCTAAAGATAGTTTTCCTAAAGATAGTTTTTCTAAAGAAAGATATGCTTAATTTACTGATGATACATTCTGCAAAAAAACTGCTGCACATATATAACGTTTATCTGGAAATTAGAGATATCATATAAACTCCAAACTGAACCAAATAGGTGTCAAATGATAGCTATGTAAATCTAGTTTCCAAAACAAAAAACTATTCTTAAAAATAGTTTGTCTAGAGAAAGATATGCTCAATTGACCAACAATATGTTCTGCAGAAAACTGTAAATGTGCTGATTTGAAATAATTGATGTAAAACGTGAAAGTTTCTTGAGTTTCGCTCTTATTGTTATTTTCGAGAGAGTTTCTCGATCTTGTACTGTTATATCATAATGATTAAGAGTTATTTAACACTTAAGATGAAGGTGAACACTAGTTATGAACACGCACACCGAGATATGTGCACGTACACTTAGATATGGGAGAGTATAGTCATTTTTTTTATGTATCCGGAAATAGGGAGATAAAACCTATTTTCGCAGAACGGTTGAGTAAGAGTATTACAAAAGTATCATCATTTCATGTATCCGGAATAGGGAGATAAAAACCTATTTTCGCGGGACGATTGAGTAATAGTATTACAATAGTATCGTTATTCATGTATCCGGAATAGGGAGATAAAACCTATTTCCGCAGGATAATTGAGTAAGAGTATTACAAAAGTATCGTCATTTCATGTATGCGGAATAGGGAGATAAAAAGATATTTCCACAGGACGATTGAGTAATAATATTACAATAGTATCATTATTCATGTATCCAGAATAGGAAGATAAAACCTATTTTCGCAGGACGGTTGAGTAAGAGTATTACAAAAGTATCATCATTTCATTTATCCAGAATAGGGAGACAAAACCTATTGTCGTAGAGCAATTGAGTAAGAATATTACAAGAGTATAGCTATTACATAAGGAGATACTCACATATATGTATCATTAGTTGTAGTTACTCCCATGTTAGATTACCCATGAGTAGGGCACATTCCTTAATTTGTGACATACAGGATATGGCCTATGGTGATTTTTTTTTTTGAGTTGGATGATATTCTTTTATTATTGCGCCAACTACTTGAGAAGTAGTTCGAGATTATGACATTGATGCTTAGGCTTGGAGTATTTCTTTTGAGTGTTGTTTTCATTCATAGTGTTAGAATTAGTATTTAGGGATCTACAATTTGAGACATATGGTATATATATGAGGGTTTTCGTGTTTGGATTATTTCTCTCGACGTACTACGTCTTGTCTTGTAGGTGTCTAAATATTAACTCTATTAGATACGAGAAAATTGATATATGTAGACTATCCTTAATAGATAGAGCATCCACTTCATCTAGCAGCCCTTTCCCTAGGGACGGATGTAGGTGATCTTGCTATAGCACTCTGATGCTCTTGTTGTTGTTCTTTTAGTTTAAATTATATCTTTCAGGCAGATCAGAGTTTCGGAGAGCCGCAGGATGACGGAGTTCTAGCATAGTCGTCGTCACATAGTTTTAGCAGTTGAAGCTCCATTATATAGTTATGTTCATTGTTCAGACTTTAGAGTTGTATTTTGTAGAGGCTGAATGCCTTTGTGAGATTTCATTTGACTCATTGTGTTGAGATATATTTCAGACTCAGAGATATTTTCATTCTATTTTAGTTAGGCTCATTTGTTGATATACTTCTTCTGTGCATATTTAATTTTGTACTACTTCTATTATTTATCTGTTTTGTTCCTTCACTATTTGTTATTTTCACTAGAGAGATAGTGACTGTGATGGTGAAACATGTCGTAGCATGATGTTTGGTGCTTGGCAGGTTTGACAATCCAGGTTTTACCTTGGATTGCAGCCTTGTGTGAACCCTGGGGCGTCACAGAAGGTATTGTGCGTCATTGAACATTTTACCATACACCACAATAAAATAGAGTTACAGAAGGTTGAACAGGACACTCTTAGAGAGGGATCGATGCTTGCTTTCTAATGCCAGTTTGTCAAAGAATTTTTGGGCTGAGGTAGTTAATACAGCTTGCTATTTGATAAACAGATCTCCTTCTATAACAATTAATTTTAAAACTCTAGAAGAGCTATGGTCTAGTGCCCCTGCTAATTACTCTCATTTAAGAATATTTGGTTGCTCTGCTTATTTTCATGTTAATGATGTCAAGCTTGAACCCAGAGCAACGAAGACTATCTTTCTAGGTTATGCTACTAGGGTAAAGGGATATAGATTGTGGTATTCTGATTCAAATTACCTAAGTTTATTATTAGTAGGGATGTTACTTTTGATGTGAAATCCATGCTTCACTTGAGAAAGAAGTTTACTGTTGATACCACATGTACTGAAAAGGAGTCTAGCAAGCAAGTAAAGCTAGAGAACTCTACTTTAATGGGAGTACTTGATGGTAGTTCTCTTGCTTTACTTGATGGTAGTTCTTTGCTTTAATGTTGAACCAGTCGATACTATGGAAGGTTCAACTTCAGATGTAGATTTGACCTCCTCAATGTTATGCATACAAGCTTGTTTATACTTTGAGTATAGCAGAATCAATTAAGATTCCAGAGCCTTCTACTACAATGAGGCTATTGATGGTAGTGAGGCTACAGATTGGACTATTGCTATGATTAAAGAGATGGAGTCTCTTCACAAAAATCAGACATGGGTTAGTGGAGCCAAGAGGGGGGGGGGGGACAAAAAAAAATTAGC